CCGCAATGTGATTATAAAATCCCGAAATCTGCGTAACAGTAGTTAACTTGTACGTACAATATTTCACCGTGTGTCTGTGTCGCTTGTAAACGCATGTGGAAGACATCGATCACTTACAGCTAAGTAAGATATTGTCACATTTTCTGCGCACTAAATAAGTCTAAATGTTCTCCTAGCAAGCCCCTGAATGTCGACGATCATTGTCAAGGAAAGGAAGGACACGCGTCGAAGCCGAAATACACGCGGATAGAATTCTGTGTGTACGTGTGTGTGTGTGTGTGTCTGCTGTGTGTATTTTTTTCTTCTTTTTATTTCTCTCTCTCTACGATTCTCTCGTCTTGAATAGATCATTTGCTAGATATGTGTGAGTTCTGGTTGAATATAAATATACAATCTCAAAATGTTTCGAACCATTTGTCCATAGCTTTCGATCAAATGAATCTGTGTATATATAATTCTTATTTAAAGGGACATAGTTTTTTTTTCTTTTTTTTTGGCTTTCTTTTTCCTTTTTTATAGAATGTCTCTAAGCGGTGACACGTAATCATAACTTTGTTTTTGTTTATTTTTTTTTTTTGCGTTTTTTCACGTCATTTTTGTACGATAAAACGTTATAAACGTTCGAAACCAGCAAAAATATAGACGCTGTCGCGTTATATATATATATACTCGATTAGGTTCGTGTTCTCAAGGGAAATGCGTACACTTTGGAATGCATCTGCAGCCGTCTATACATAGAAGCGATACGATGTTCGGGTTTTGGTGTGTGTGTGTGTGTGTGTGTGTGTCGTATTCGATTATTTAGGCATGTGTGAGAAAAAGGGGAACGTAGATAATAAATAAGCAGGTTTTGTTTCTCGGTGGCGTCATTTCGCCGAATCGTTTAACGATAACGCAACAACGCTGGAAATCAATTGTCGCAAGCTGCAATTCGATGGTTCCCTTGAGCAGAATAAGAGTGTAAAATATCCTACATGTTAATAGAACTTCTGTTTCTCTGGAAGACAGCGATTGGTTCAAAACGGCAGACCAATTTCAAAGGCGTTGATCAAGGCGGAGCCTGAATCGTATACACCTATCACACCGAAAAGCACCCCGAGAAATATAACGAAGCAATCGTACGCTACCGCGCTCCATTCCATCGAGTTTCTCTTCAATTTCAAATGAAAGTAACACGGCCATATGAAGGACAACATTGTCCCGGTGAACGAACCGATGAAACCCATGAGAATACTGAAATGCGGAATGAATATTGCCATGAGAATGGTGAAAACGATCACACCGACGCGCCACGCCAAACCCCACACTTTCAATTCCCGATCCACGGTCCATATCGTCGGGAAGATCGTTTTCGGTCTACCCCTGAAGAACGCTCTCTCGAGGAGCTCGCAGGCAGCGTAATACGGCAACGGATACGACAACACGGCCTTTATCACCAAGCATAAATTCACCAGACCCTTGAATCCAGCCGAGTGTAAATTATTCGTGATCACCTGCTGCGTGTCGTTTTGGAACGTTAGAAAACAGATCCAGCCGAACAGCGATTTGAACGCGGCGGCCGCGATGTGACTCCAATTTAACATCCAATCGAACTTTGAACGATCGATCAGATTACCCTCCAACGTGGGCAAGAATATCTGCGAAGTGTAACTGAACACTATCACGCCGAGCGAGATCGGGAAGTTCTCTAGATCGATCGTCCATTTCACTTTCGACCAACCCCAGTCGCCGATCTCCAAGATACAATAGCCGACGATTATCGCGTTTATGAACAAATGAGACATCGTGCACCAAAAACTGAGCACCGAGACGTGCTGAAGGGATTTTAGAAAACCGAGAGGCAGTAGAAATATCCCGACGAGCATCATCCAGCTTCTGGTATCGATCGCGCCCTCGGGAAACGTGCCTATCATTAGATCACCGCACACGACCACGTATAAGATACATGTCATCAGTAACTCGATTATTTGAGCGATATTCACCGCTCTAGCACCCCACGTAGGTCCGAAACATTCTTTAGCAATAGCTACGTACGAATCTCGTACACGTACACGTTGACCAGTCGTAGTGTCCAGTTCGTATAAACATTCGACGAGTATCTTGCCGGTATAGCAACAGATATGAGCTATACCGATCATCGCAGCAATGGCCCAGTAACCGCCTCGTAATACGGCGAATGGCAACGACACGATGAACATACCCTGGAATGATAATAAAATTAATGTCGAGACCTTCGTCCTTCGTAATGTCTCAAAATTATGGAATTTACTTGAATTTCATTTACACGTTCGACTAATTTTGTATGGGATTTACAGTTATGATAAATTACAATAGAATAGCTTCGACTTTTGTGAGAAATTGAATATGAAAGAGATGAATATGCGAAGAAAATCACATGACATCTTACACTTTTTTCTTTTCTTTGAAAAAGTTTTTCATTTTTTAATAATATGAACCTACATATGATTAATTTTCAACGGATTGTTATTAAAATTGACTGTTTCGTATCTATAATCTTGAGACTTTTTACAGAGGCAGGAAGATTTGATCGAACGAAAAATACCTGTATAGCGTTTGTAACGTTCCACGCGGCTTGCCATTCGTTAATCTTTACTCCTGAACCACCAAATTCACCGCCACCTTCGTCATATTCACTAAATTCGCCGCTACTAACACTTCCTGTCCTAATTTTGTCCCTGCAACGTTAAATTCGAGGTGTCAATAAAATCGTGATATTCTGAACGAATAAAATTATATTTGTGTTGTAAGAGACACGTTAAATACACGGCAGTGGTCCTTTTATTTTTACGATACTCATTTTTATAATACTTTACTCGAATAATTATTTCCTTATTTTTGCACCATTACGATAGAAAAATTTTTTCACTGTAAAAATGAAACTAAACGAATTGTTTTACGAAAATAAAATTTTGAAAATTTTAGAACGAAGCACAGGAGACACTGATACTTCAAAATATTTATTTCAAAATTTAATTATTTCATTTCCTCGTGTACAAAAAGTAATCGTTATTTTATACTAATTGGACACGTAATTGCAGAAAAATTAAACAGTGCCTATATCATGACTTGAAACATTTTTTTCACAATATAGAGCTCTTTTCACATTTTTCTTTTTATCTGAACAGCGAAGGGCGACAATACAATAGCTTTAAGGTGCCTTTTTATCTGTCCTTGCACACACAAACCCGTTCATTTACCCATTTCGTTGATAGCTGAACGAGTCCTCGGCGATGGCTACGTTATTCTGGTCCCGATACGCTTGATCTCCGTTCATAGTCATCATTTCCGTATTATCGCGACCTTCGTCGAATGATTTCAACTGTTCCTGTCCACTTTGTCCTGGAGCCGGCTGTCGCTGTCCTGGACCATTGCCACGAATAAGTTCCATACAGGGACTGTTCTCTGGCCATTTAGCCTTTAATGTTTCCCAGGCAACGTTCAATGTTGCTCCTAAGGATGGTATGTAGAAGCCGCGAAAATTGGCCATTTTTTAATTCGTTGCTTCTGAAAACGGACAAGTTAACATTCTTCGGATCATTATTTTCAAATTTTATATTAAAAGTATAATATAAATGGGATATAAATTATTTGAAAAACTTGAATTCAACGTCAACTGTTGCTACGATTAAAATTGTCCAAAGTAGGTCAGCAACGCTGCGAAAAAAGAGTTTCAACTACTATTTGCAAATGTTTTTAAAAAAATGTTGAGAAATGTACGTATAAATTTTGATAATGTTAAATATTGCGATCGAATGTACTTAGGTGTTTTTAAACATTTTTCTTGAATCGACAAAAAATAATTATCGATACAGAACCACATATCAACTGTTGCGGATAAATATCGTTATACAGTACAACTCTGTAACTATAGCCATTGTCGATATATTTGTACGACACTTTCGATACCCCTTTCCTCTCGTTCATATTATATGTAAAATGACGAAACGCGGATACGAAGAGGTACGTTGAAAAATACGAATAATAAGTAATGAATTTGCACCATTCTTAGTATGGTATTCGAGTAAAATTGATTTATATCATACGACAAATAATCAAATCAAAGTGATTACAAGTAGTTTACTATACCACTTAATTTGTCTGAACTATAACGAAAAAGTGTTACAATTCATTGGTACATTTTCTCAGAACTTTCGAAAATAACTCGTTGCCCAAATTTTCGAGTACATCCACGTTCATTTCCATCACGGTAATCAGAATAATTAAAATAACATATACGACACACGATATGCAGGTCACTTTAATTGCTCGAGCGAGAAGAATAATCGAACATATAGCTTGACACAATTCCATCTAAGCTGAAGCTTACTAAGAAAGAAAAAAGGAAGAAAAAAAGAAAGAAAGGATTCTCCATACACGTGTAATTGAAATCCGTCGTTTAAACGATAACCCATTACAATCAATGTTGTCCAAACTCTTTTAATCGGCGAGTGAAACATTTTCTACGAACGTTCGCTTTGAAATGTTCCAAGAACTGTGCCTGCCTGCTATCTTGCTTCTTGATTACGTTCTGGAATTTTAAATACACACTCTCGATATCTTGTTTCACTTACCGAACAACGAATTATAATTCGTTTCGCAGTATTCCAGGAAACTTAGCGGCTTTTAAATGGTGCGACACGGCAGACACAACTTCCTCCAGCCTTAGTCTCGTTTTTTCCCCTTTTTATCCTTTTCGTTTCTTTTTTTTTTTTTGCGAAATTCTCTAACAGGCAGAGCGAGAGGCTTAAACTAAAAAAGGAACCGACAGCAGGTCCGAAGAACGGAAATACTTGAAAATAAAAGGTCGAAACCGTCTAACTACGTGGGCTACGACACCGCATGGTCGTCTACGGTCTACCGCGATCCTCGAGTCCCTAATCGCGAGCCCTTAATCGCGACATAGACTACGGGGTTGGCCTGTCAGGGGTTCGAAGTTCAGAAGAATATGGCCAGCATCCCTCGAACGCGCAAGCCTCGATCGATGTGGTCCATGAGGCATCTCTCGAAATGTCAGTACTGTAGTTAAGAGTCACGTCTCCCAACTTAAAACGAATTAGGGGATCAAGATTGCCGAACAGGGTAACTAGGACTGCCGATCGGATTTCATACGTGCCATTTGGAATTTCAATCGATTCTATAGATTCTCTTTTAACACCTAATTCAACACCATTTCGTTGACATTGTAAAAAAATTGATAACACTTTGATAAGAAATTTACAGGAAGTCGAGATTTGAACGTTGACAGTTTTCAAATCGTATTAAACTTGGATTACAGCGACCGATATGTACAAGTGTACCCTAGAATGTTAAGCCTGATTGTTAAGGCTAATTACTTTTGATAAAAGAATACATTAAAGACAATATGCGATTTTTACTAGAAGAATCACTTATATTTATTTGTACTAATTCTTTCATTTATAATTTCTCATTTTCTCCACTTTACATTTAATAATCGAGTCAGGTTTACGTTCGATCGATGTTTTAATACATAGTATCACACATATTACAATACTCATATTCCTTATCTTAATTTCAAGATTGACTTAGAAACAACTTAATGTTAAAATGCGGGGCAACTTTCGTGGAAAAAATAATATAGTAATAAGAAAAAGTAAATAATAAGGTCTAGCTTATATCTTTATTTTGTTATTCATGCACTCATGCACGATAGCGTTTCTTATTTTATTTTAATCAAAATACTATTTAATCTCACCTTTTATTGTAACCATGTATAATTTTTTTTTTTATTTTAAACAATAAATATTTTACATTTATATTATTGCACTGTACTAGTGCTGTGCTGTCTTGCTGTTTTAACAACATTCAACAATTCAGATTTTAAACTGAATTTTATTTTTTCTGAAATTTTTCCTAATTCTGATACACATGTGATGTATTTGTTCAACCTGTGAGTTAATGTCTTATTGTTTTCAGTAATCTTTTACTAAGTTCATGTCTTCTTATTGATGATGTTACTGATGCATCACTGTCTATTTCTTCATTTTCTTAACTTTCCTTAGGAATGTGGTCATTTTTTACACTGAAAGATCTTTGTTTCTATATACTTTGAAAAAAGCTAAGATTTAAAAAAAGAACCATCTAATACAATATAAAATAACCGATTTACTAGTAATATTTGAGATTAATTTGTAAATTACATTGCAACTAGTAATGGAAAATTATATTCATTTTAACAATTTTGAAATGTAATTACTTACCAATATTTAATTTTTCAACGCTCTTTCCTTCCGCGAAATTGTGCATATATTTTATTATAATTCTGCTCCGTACGTCCTGCTTTACTATATTCTGCAATTTTTGTATTCTACACTACCGCTTCATTTTCCATAATGGAAATAAAATCTTTTGTCTTTATATTTTTAGTAACGTTTTCCATTTTATTTTTTTAATACAAAAAATATATTAATTGCTCTTATTTGCAGAAAAACATTTTTATTTAAATCTAAATGTATATGTATATTATACTAGATAATAAAACCATGTTAGGTAAATAAAGTCTTAATTTGAACAAATTCTCTACAATTAAAACCTCAAACATATTCTAATCCTAATAAACTATAAATTCGTTCTAAGATTTTTTATACCTCCAACGTACCCCCGAAAGAATCACTAACATAAATCGAGACGTAAAAATTTCAAAATAGTTTTCTCATTATGTACAACCTAACTAACAATAACTTTTGCGAGACATCACGCATAGTCCTTTTTACTTGATACAACAAATCTATAAAATAAATATTCATTCTAGTCCTACCGATACATGTAGACTTAGGATGTATCAATTGTCATTATGAGGACATGACTGGAAAATTTTCTGAGAAAGCAAGCTGATAAATGTCAGCTGTATGCTAGTTTTTAATAAACATATGTAATAGAGAGAATATAAAACCAATAACTCTATCAAAGCAGCATGACAGTACTTGTTTACTGTTTTAATTGTAGACATAAAAAATATATAAGACTTATTTATTTCCATATTTTACCGTTCTCAATTCTTAAATCGAAATTTAATCAGAACTTTATTAACAAGACTGTTAATACATTTGAATGAAAAATGGTTCATAGAGTAAATGATAGATAACATAAACATTATTCTGTTGTATCTGAATGTAAAAAAAGATACCTCTTTTACTATTTATTATAATACTACATTAAAGGTATCAATAAAGACCAGTGTATATTTTAATAAATAAAGAAACCAACTTGTTTATTATTTATCTTAGGTATGTTACTTTTCACAATGATAATTAATAATTGATATTAACTTTACAATCATTTGTGTCCCTGCGTTTTGTAATTCAAATTATAGTAACATCCATATAAGCGTTTCACGCACACAATATGAATACTTCATTATAATATATTGCATACAAAATAAACGCTAATCATTGGATTTAATAATTCTGGTAACAATACAAGGCCGTGAGATCACAACAAAAAATGCTTCTAACTCCTACCATAAGATATACATATTAATGAATTTATAAGTTAATACAGTAGAAGTTTTAAATTTCCTACTATTTTTCTATAGTACAAAGCATGAATGTGTTACTATCATTCTGTAAAGTTCTGTTGTGGTATATATATATACACATATATGTATATATTTTTTTTAAATCAATGCATATAAACCAGAAAATATGTAATTTAGAACAGTGTTACAACATTTTGTATATGCAGGAATGACACACAGACATTATAGTAAATGTACAAAGAGGAAAAGTGTTAAATTTAACACCAAAGTTGGAGAACTAATAAAATGTCACTGGTTTAGGCTAAAAATACAGCTAAACATTTGTCTTTAAATAATACAGTCGTAGATATCAATTTTGTACTAACTAATTACCCACCAAATACACATAATACCCACAAATTTACATTAAATTGCACATAGTGACAAACAAAAAACACAAGCAAATGCCATGAGAGACCAAGAAATTGTTTAAAATTTTTTGATAATGTTTCATGATGTTCACTTATTGTACAAGTAGTATGGTGCATGTAGTTTTATCGAAGAAGATACTTTTGTTTTACAAATCTAGCAATAATCTATAACACAGCTAGAATAGGACAGTTAGAAATTGTTTCTTTTATGTAAGGATATCAATTATAACTTTAATGTCCATGTGGAAGTGTTAATTTGTGTACATAATATTAGGATGTTAAAGTAATTAATTTACTCACTGACATCCCTTTGTGTTTGATGAGAGTCACTATCTGAAGTTAAACTTTCAATAGCACTATCTTGTTGTGAAATTGTTTCAGAACTCCTAGTCATACACAGTTTATTAGATTTAACTTCTGTGCGACTGTATTTAAAATTCTGATCTAAATTTGAATTTGAAGTGGAATGTAATGATGATACATTAGACTGAGCAGAAACAGGTCTTTGACATGAATGCAACATTAATTCTGGTCCTCCACCATATGTTGTTAAGAAAAACTGCCAAAGTTCTTCTGGTATTGGTCCATAGTCTGAACCTATACATAATATTTATGTTAATGAGGTAAAATGCACACATATATAAAGATGTTATAAACCCTGGTGCATATTAATTAGAAACTTACCCACTTTGAGGATATTTTGACCATTTTTATTCATTATAATAGAATTGTTATCAATTGGTCCAGGTGGTTGAGTCTCTTTACCCCTTACAAAACTTTGCCACTGGCGTAACCAAGCCATAGCTAATCCATAAATAGCAGTAGGATTATCAGTGTTATGATTTAATTGCTGAAATACTTCCATTTCATATTGTCTCCTTTTCTGCAATGATTCATATTTCTCTTCACAAATTGGGCATTCATATAAATGTGTACAAGCTGGACCTCCTCCAAATCTAAAATATTATTTTAGTTAATGACTTAAATTATAACATAATTTATAAAATTATTTTAAAAGCTTAATAGACATGTAAAATGCAATTTAAGTAGTACTTACGTATTATATAAATATTCCCAAACTGCTTGTGGAATTGGCATGCTAAGCCTATCTACAAATTGTGCTCTAACAGGATTGACACCACCATGTGGACAGAGAAAATCAGAATTGTCTATAGGTCCTGGTTCTGAGAATGTGTTAAAACGATTTATCCATTGTTTAGACACAAAAAAATTTAAATCAGACAATTCTCTAGATGAAATTTCCATTAATTCCATGGTTTTATCACGTAATTGTAACATTTCTGGTGACCACTTTTTATAAAATAACACATAAGCTTCACAATGCTTTACAGTTTCTGGTGAGACTTCTGTGACACACTGATCATCAAACTCAAACCATTTATTAACAATAGGATTTAATGCATAACATGTATAATGACCACCACCAGCTGTACCATGATGACAAATAACTGATATTAAATCATACATGGTTACTTTTGATATACATTCTTTGTGCAAGTAGGGTCGCATATCTAACCCTTCTAGTGGAAATGAAACATAATTTGCTATCTTTGAACTAAACATTAATTCATGACGAAACCTTTTTAAATGGACACATAGTATCTCAGGTAGTTCTAAAACTTTGGAAAATTTGATTCCATTACGTAGCTTGTTACATTTTTCACAACTGTACATATTATCTCCTTTAAGTTCATCTGCACTAAAAAATGCAGAAAGACAATCATGAAGACTAACAACTGGCCCCCAAAACCAAGAGCGCATCCACTGCAAAAGCCATGACAGCCAACCAGACTGATTAGTTACATATACAACATCTGAACATGGTCCTGCTTTCTGTGGAGTTAGAGGTCCTTGATGTAACATATCAATATGATCTCTACTTGGAATGGGTAATGACAAATCTTGAAAAGTTTCTACTCTTGTTGAAATCCTATCACAAGTAAGACATTGTACGCTACTTAAAAGTTTACCATCAAATATATCACTGATGATACTTCGAGTTTTCATTTGTTTTTTAGTCCTGTACTTAACAGGTGAGTTTTGTGTTGATCTCTGTGGCTGAGAAAATGGTTGGTCTACAATTGACTTTTTAATACTTCTATTTGTAAATTTACTTCTTAATTTTTCTGACTGAGATACCCGAGAATATCTTCTTTTTGTACCACGGTCACCTTCATCACTAAGAGAACTCTGTTCACTTACTCCAGAATCACAAGTTTCATATTCAGCATCTGATTGGCTAGAACCATTCCCATCAATTTCAGTTTCATCTTCATCTGAAGACTGTTCTCCTAGTCCCTTTAATCTTAACACATTATCACGATCATCTTCGATATGTTCTTTCATTTCTTCATGTAATTGATCCATAAAACATCTCAAAAATTCTTGGGTATCATGTTGATGATATCCTCTAAACATTGGGTGAACTGTTCGAATACCAGACAATATTCCATGTGGTACAACATATCCTCTTGTTTTCCTATCCCACATGTCTCGAATAAGGTTTAAATAGCTTAAACTTAAACCAGGTTTTCTATCTTTGGACATATAGCTAACCATATGACCACATTCCAGAAAGAATTGAGTCAAAGGAGGTACATTTGATAAAGCTTGAAGTGCAGCATTCATGTAACATGTATTACCAATATTCTGAAGACCAACAAGACCTCTTGGTTTCCCAGAGAAATCTTTACTTTCATCTGAATCTGTACTATCTGGTGAATCACCAGATTTTTCATTAAACAACCCATCTTTTTCATAATTCACCCTATTTATAAATTCACCATAGAACCTATTATTTATAAAACAAAAAAGATACTTTTACTTTTTAAAACTGTATTATATGTTGAAAATTCTCAATATTTGTATTTTAAACAAGCTCTAAATATAAATGTCTGTAAAGGAAATAAAAGTAACACTTACTTGTCCAATATGAGTCTATTAAGATCGTCTGTTTTACAATCAACATTAATAGGTGCATCACCAGCAAACTTATTACTTGGCGTTTTTATATCCACCTGAGTAGGTGATAATGGTGGTGATGGTACATGCCTGGTAATAACTTCTCTGTTACAAGAGTAACACCATATACGATTTGTAGAAAGGTTCATATGAGCACAATGATTAGGAAATTTTAGGTTGTGTACGGTACTGTGATCCAAATGCGTTTCTGGACATCCGACCCAGCGACAATCAGGAAACAAGCATAACCATAAATTAGGCTCATCCGTATCACATTCACTACATTTTTTAAACCTTTCCTTTTGAGATACAACAATCTCAATAAACGCGAGATCACCACGATTGGCGATATGAGGACAGTTCCTCGAAATCAAAGGCATTTGGATTTTGATATTTGCCCTGTTGATTATTCTTGATCGTAGGACGCGGAACCGCGCGTATTCTTTAGTTTCTTACATTCGTCTAAAATTTGGTTTACACACGATTCGAATAATGTTACAATCATTTTCTAACCTGGTCGGGACATGTCATTCTTCGTAATTGAACATTATCCACGAAAACGATTGTCATTGGAGATAGTTGTGTTGAGAAAATTAACTATTACAATCGGATAGCCAATATAAAAGAAAAAATATAGGTTGGTGTACATGTTACAGTCGACAATCGATTTAATACTGTTTTAGAGGTAACTTGCGTACTGTTACTTTTCCATAAGCTAGATTGAAATTAAATATAAAACTAGACATCCATTATGCATCATTATTTTCAAAATATGTTTATATACAAAAAGTTTTTAACTAACAGTAATATTAATCACGATGTTTATCTGAAGGTATTTATCACGGTAGATGTCGCATTGTTAGACAAAATGTTAGTGAATAAACCTCAAGTTGGGCACCGCTGTGTATTTCTCTTAATAACCTGATTAAAAATCAAGTCAAAAGTGCACATGGATTATTAACATACTGCAATAGATTTTTAATATTCTAAGTATATTTTGGTAGTATAAGTGAACGGTCTGTTAATTTTTATACAAGTATTCTAATACTGGTTAGTATAAAAAGTATACTATCATACAATTCAAAGTATACTTGAAGTTAACCTATACGATATCCTTGTTTTCTATTTACCAGAATACTTGACAGATGTATATTTTTTTAACGAAAAAATATATCTATTAATAATGAAATTCAACTTTTCCTTTATTAAAAGAAATCACAATGTTTTATATTAACAGTTAAAATAAAACATATAAATTTCATTTTTAGCAGTAAAAATGGTACTGTCGTGTCGATTTTATAAGGAAAAATACCCAGAAGTGGAAGATGTAGTAATGGTAAATGTACGTAGTATAGCTGAAATGGGAGCATATGTACATTTATTGGAATATAATAATATTGAGGGTATGATCCTTCTTTCTGAATTGTCTAGAAGACGTATTAGATCTATTAATAAACTTATTAGAGTAGGAAAAACTGAACCAGTTGTTGTTATCAGAGTTGACAAAGAAAAAGGTAAAATATATAGAAATATCAGATATAAAACATTTTTTAAATCATTTATATATACCATTTTGTTTAATAGTGTATTAAATTGCTCACCTTAGGTTATATTGATCTTAGTAAACGTCGTGTATCAACTGAAGATGTAGAAAAATGTACTGAAAGATATGCAAAAGCAAAAGCTGTCAATTCGATTCTGAGACATGTTGCAGAATTATTACATTATGATAATGATGATCAACTAGAAGAATTATATCAAAAAACTGCATGGCATTTTGAACAAAAATACAAAAAGCAGAAAGCTTCTGCATATGATTTCTTTAAGCAATCAGTTTTGTAAGTATAAAGCATAAAAGAGTATGTGAAACAAAATGTGTTATTTGCATAATAGTAATTGTTAAAATGTTGCTATTTTAGGGATCCATCTATTTTAGCAGAGTGTGGTCTTGATGAACATACAAAGGAAGTGTTATTAAATAATATTAAACGAAAATTGACTTCTCAAGCGGTTAAAATTAGAGCAGATGTAGAAGTAGCTTGTTATGGTTATGAAGGTATTGATGCAGTGAAAGCTGCACTAAAAACTGGTTTAGCTCTTTCTACCGATGAACTTCCAATTAAAATTAATTTAATTGCACCACCACTATACGGTACATTGCTTTTACTTTTTATTTATGTAAGTCTATAATAGTAAGAATAAAATTAATAACTAATATTCATTTAACACTCTTTAGTTATGACAACATCGACACCAGAAAAACAAGATGGTTTGAAAGCATTAAATGATGCTATTGATGTTATACAAAATAAAATAACAACATTAGGAGGTGTATTTAATGTACAAATGGCTGTAAGTTAAATTAGGTATATTTGTTGTAATAGTTAAATTTATTAAAAATTTTTATTTGCAATAAAATTTTTTTATTTTGCAGCCCAAAGTTGTTACTGCAACAGATGAAGCAGAATTAGCAAGACAAATGGAACGAGCTGAACTTGAAAATGCTGAAGTGGCTGGTGATGATGATGAAGAGGAAGTAGAAGGAATGGATGGATTTAGTGGTAGTGAAGGTTTAGAGGAAGATAAAAAACCTGGAAACGAGTCTCAAGAAGAAGAATGAACATAGAACAACGCAATAAATTACCCGTTTCATTAACTGACAGTTATTTCTGGATCACGATCGTACTTTCACAAGTATGCTACTGCCTTGCTGGACATTATGCAGAATATTTCAAATAAATATACAATCGTCAATGTATTATAATTTATAAATAATTTTTTATTAACTTCATAAAATAAACAAATTAATACCTAAATTATTGCTAATAGAAGTTATTTTTTCATATTAGCAATGTTTTTAATACTAAATCACAAAACTTAAAAAATTTCTAATTTTAAATTCCTGTATGTGTGTGACTGTAATATACTCATGTATATGATCTTGTTAAAATACATACAAATTTTACACAAATATTTGCATTTTCACATTTTTATTAAAATTTTGTACAATTTCATACAAATTGTTTATTCATTTGCAATTGTAACTTCAACTTCAACACCAGGTTCAATAGAAATGCTTGTAATTTGTTTAACAATTTCTGATGGTGAATATAAGTCAATAACTCTCTTGTGAATGCGCATCTGAAAACGATCCCACGTTTTTGAACCTTCACCGCAAGGAGTTTTACGCGTAGTTATTCTTAAAATCTTTGTAGGCATACGAACTGGTCCTTTAACCTTGAGTTTCTGTTTGTTTGCTCCATTGATTAATTCAGAGCACACTAAAACAATAGATGTTATTAGAAAAATTAGCATAAAAATAACAGTAAATAATAATAATATTATAGAAAACACTTTCTACCTTTCTCAAGGGAGCGTACATTTCGTGAAGTAAGTGTAATCCTAATTCTATGAATAGGTGTTACTTCTTGTCCTGGCTTTTCAGGATTATCAACTTTTGTACTTGCCTAAAGTATTGCACTGTACACCGCGTGTTTCAACATATAAATAACCTAACAAACCAACATAATTTTACAAAAACACCTACAATTTATTGAAAAAATATAACTTAAAAACTTATATCACAAATAAAATTATCAAAATGATCACGCACCATTATTTAATTGTTTTCCTGGTCGAGATGATCAATTTATTTTCAACAAAACTGATCAGCGCTGAACCAGTGCTTGCGCACGTTACATGTGCAAACAGAAGAAGGTACGAAACAACATAATTTCCGGTTAAGAGTAACCGAAGTGTATTCAAAACTAGAT